ACTGGATAACCTAGACAAAATGAACATATTCCTAGAAAAACACAGTCTTCAAAAACTCAATCAGGAAGAATCAGAAAACCTGTATAGGCCAATAACTACTGATGAAATTGAAGCAGCAATCAAAAAACTTCCAGCAAACAAAAGCTCTGGTCTGGATGGCTTCACAGGGTAGTTTTACCAAACATTCAAATAAGAACTAAAACCTGTCCTCCTTAAACTACTCAAAAAAATTCAAGAGGAAGGAACACTGTCAAGCTCTTTCTATGAAGCCAGCATCAACCTAGTACCCAAACCATATAAAGACACTACACAGAAAGATAATTACAGGCCATTATCCCTGATGAACAGATGCTAAAATTCTCAACAAAATTCTAGCAAATCAGATCCAGCAGTACATCAGAAAGATCATACACCATGACCAAGTAGGATATATTCTGGGATGTAAGGCAGGTACAATATATGCAAATCAATAAATGTGATACAGCACATTAACAGACTGCATGACAAAAATCACATGATCATATCAATTGATGCAGAAAAGGCATTTGACAAAAATCCAACACCCTTTTTTGATAAAAACTCTCAGCAAAGTATGAATAGAGGGGTCACACCTCAACATAATAAAGGCCATATATGACAAAACTACAGTCAACATCATACTCAATGGGCAAAAACTAAAACCATTCCCCGTAAGGACAGGAACATGACAGGCACCCACTTTTACCACTCCTGTTCAACATAGAGTACTGGAAGTGCTAGCTATAGCGATCAGACAAGAAGAAATTAAAGGCATCCAAATTGGAAAGAAGAAGTAAAACTCATTATTTGCAGATGACTGCTGGAGGCTAATTCCAGCATGTCATAATAAATGCAAGAAGTTCATCAAAAGGTTGATGGAACTTGAGGCTTCATCAGGGCTGAATCATATCACCTGCTGCTGGAATAGCTGAAAGCATTTTCCCAAACCTGAAAATCTGCATGTTATTGCCTGCTGCCAGACAGCTGAGGGCAGTTCCCCCAACCTGATGGTCCTTTATTGTTTACCAGGCTGAACCTTTGATATGTATATCTGCTTTGCAATAGGGCAAAATGTGGGACTAAAAAGCCCTGGGTGCGGAGATTCAAAGAACTAAGTTACTAAAGCTAAGCTCCATCTGGCTCCCCCCAAAATGCTTTCCAAATTTATATTTAATGTCTAGTTTATTTAATTTACTCGCAGCACCTTCTCCAGATTCCTGAACCCTAGTATACAGGATAACATCCCAGCAGATGACATGATATTGTACATAAAAAAACCCTTAAAGACTTCATCAAAAATTACTAGATTTAATAAATGAATTTGGCAACTTAGCAGATACAAAATTAACACCCAGAAATCTGTGGCATTTTTATACACCAATAATGAACTCACAGAAAGAGAAACTAAAGAAACAATTCCATTTACCACTGCAACAAAAAAAATTAAGATACCTAAGAATAAACTTAACTAAGGAGGTAAAAGACCTGTACTCAGAAAACTACAGGATGTTGAAAAAAAGATACAGTAAGATATAAACAAGTGGAAGAACATAACGTGTTCATGGATTGGTAGAATTAACATCATTAAAATGCCCATACTACCTAAAGCAATCTATAGATTCAATGCAATCCCTATTAAGTTACCAACAGCATATTTCACAGACTAAGAACAAAAATTTATCTGAAATAAAAAAAAGACCCCGAATAGCCGCAGCAATCCTGAGAAGGAAGAACAAAGTTGGAGAGATCATAATACCAGTTATCAAGCTATACTACAAAGCCACTGTAATAAAAACATTCTGATACTGGTGCAAGACCAGACATATAGGCCAATGTAACAGAACAGAGAATCCAGAAATTTACCCAAGCCAGTCTTCTCAATTAATATTTGACAAAGTGGGTAAGAGCGGAGTCAAGACAGTCTCTTCAATAAATGGTGTTGGGAAAATTGGTCAGATACATGCAAATAAATGAAATTAGGCCACCAACTTACACCATACACAAAAATAAACTCAAAATGGATAAAGGACTTAAATGTAAGATGGGGAACCATAAAAATCCTAGAAGAATCCATAGGTAGCAATTTATCAGACATATCTCGTAGCAATATGTTTACTGATACATCTCCCAGGACAATGGAAACTAAGGAGAAAACAAACAAATGGGACTACATCAAGATAAAAAGCTTCTGTACCTCAAAAGAAACCATCAACAAAATAACAAGAGAGCCCACTGCATGGGAGAACATATTTGACAATATTATATCTGATAAAGGGTTAATCTCCAAAATGTATAGGGAATTTATATAACTTAACAAAAGGAAGATAAATGATACAATCAAAAATGGGCAAAGGACCTAAATAGACATTTCTCAAATGTGGACATACAGAAGGCCAAGAGGCATGTAAAAAAAATGCTCAAAATCACTAATCATCAAAGAGATGCAAATCAAAACAACAATGAAGTAGCACCTCACACCTATCAGAATGGCTATTATCAATAAATCAACTAACGACAAGTGCTGGAAAGGATGTGGAGAAAAAGGAACACTCATGCACTGCACTGCTGGTGGGAATGCAGACTAGTGCAGACTCTGTGGAAAACAGTTTGTAGTTTCCTCAAAAAACTAAAAATGAAACTCCCATTAGACCAGTAATATCACTTTTAGGAATATATCCCCAGAAATAAAACAATCAGAAAGAATATATGCACCCCTGTGTTCATAGCAGCACTATTTACAATAGCTAAGATTTGGAAACAGCCAAAGTGCCCATCAGCAGATGAGTGGATTAGAAAACAGTGGTACATCTACACAATGGAATACTAAGCAGCTGTGAAAAAGAAGAAACTCTTACCATTTGCAACAGCATGGATGGAACTGGAGAGCATTATGCTAAGTGACATAAGTTGGTCAGAGGAGGATAAATATCACTTGCTCTCACTCATTTGTGGAATATAATGAAGAACGTAAACTAATGAACCAAAATAGGAATAGAGATATAGAAGCATGAAACAGACTGTGGAATCTCAGAGGGAAGGCAGAGGAGGGTTGGCTGCGGGGGGCAGGGAGAGGGTGTGTAGAGATCATCCAAAGAACTTATATGCTTATAAGCCGGTGGGGGGGGGGGCGCGGGGGGGGGTGCTGGGGAAATGGGGTGAAGGCCTAGGCTGTGGGGGCCAGGGCAGGCTGGGAGAGGTCAATGGGGGAAAAGGGGATATATATAATTCTTTCAACAATAAAGAATAAAAAAAAATGGCAAACTGTATACGTAAGGTGCCTGGCACAGAGCACCGATAATGGCTACCATTTAATGTGGCTTACTGTGAGCCACATACTGTGCTAAATGCTTTATACATTTACAAAGATAATCTTTACAGCATTCCTATGAAGTAAAAGTTACTTTGGCCCTATTTTATAAATGTGGAAGTAAAGGATAGAGGTGTTAATTAATTTACCCTAATCTGTACAAGGTAAATGGTGAGCGCAGTATTCTAACTGGGGTCCATCTGCTTGGTTAGCTATGGTTGTGTAATAAACTACTCAAATCTCTGTGACTTTAAACAATAACCATTTTATTATCTCTCACAATTTTACGGGTTGACTGAACTGAGCAGGGTGATTCTTTGCCCTACAAGATGTCAACTCTAAGTGGTAGGGGGAAGTGCAGTGTCTGAGATGGTTCATCACAAGGCTGGCATTCAGTGCTGACTTGTCTGCTGGGAGCTCAGACAGAGCTGTCACCTGGAGAGCCTCAGCTCTCCTCTTTGCGGTGCTGCTTGCATCCTCATCATGTGGATCGGCTTTGATTAGCAGTACACACTGGGCTACAGGAAGGAGTTTTGAAAGAGGACAAGCTCCAACGTGCAGACATGTAAGATGCTCTCAGTTGTACCACACGTTAATGTCTCATTGGCCAAGGCTAGTCACATGGACAAGCCCAGAATCATGGGTTCTGGAAGGCCCATTAAGGCCACTAAAGTAGCAGTCCACTGTAATAGCCGTCACCAAATGCACTCTTTTGAGTCCTCCAAACTATCCCGGCTGTGACAAGAACTTGAGTTTCAGACATACAGTCAATTATATATTTAGTAAATTTTTATACTTTTCTGCTTCCAAATATGACATAAAATGTCAATTTTATATAAATGATTTTCAAAAAGATTTCAGTTTTATAAAAGAAAAATTCCTCTCAAAGATTTAAGTTATTTTTATGCATTTAAAAATGCCATTCTGTACTGGGTTTTTTAAGTTATAGTTCATTAGTGAATAAAATAAGGAGAAATATAGTTAGGCTTTATGCCCTATTATTATTCAAATAAAAGTGAATATAAGCAATTTTTTTCTTAGAAATATGATTAATTGTGGATTTTTAAGAAGCTTCTTTTCAAAGGAATAGCTTTCATCCCTCTATTTCTGTTAAAAATAAGATTTTTATTTCAGATATTGTAATTCTATCCTCATTTTATGTAAAATTAAAATAATTTAGTCCTAATGGTATTTATCTAGATAGGTTCCACACAGAACTTTTTGTTTAAAAGTTTTATTTCAGATATATCATTCCATATTTGTATATATGTAATTTATTTCCAAACAGAAGTATTTTATCTTAAGAACCCAAAATATTTAAACTGTTTCTTCTACTAATACTGAAATTTAGGCAGCTTTAGAAAAAGTGAATAGCTTATAGAAATATATATATACATATATATATATGTATATATATATTTCTTTACTCTTGATTCATTACTTCAAGTTAAATTAGCAAATGATTTAAAGGTAATAAATACCATTTCAAAGTTGTTTGGTGACCAATGCAAACTCTGACAATGTCATAGCTTAATATCAAGACTCTGAGAAACAATATCAGAAGATGATATCTGAACTAAATTATCCCCTTAATGGCTATAGTAATTAAGATTTTTTAAATAAAAAGAAATGAGATCAATATATAAAAGAAGTAATAAAGAAAATCAGTACTTACTTTTTGTGACAACACCTTCTAGTCGGATGATATTTGGGTGGTCAAACTGACCCATGATACTAGCTTCTCTTAGAAAATCTCTTCTTTGCCGATCCATGTGGCCACCTTTCAAAGTTTTGATGGCAACTGGGATCTCCCTTTTCCCTGGTGTCTTCAAACGCCCACTACAGACTTCTCCAAATTCTCCTTAAAATATGAACAAAAGTAGTTATTTGTTTAAACAGAATAGTTATATTCTGGAAGAGATTTTTGTTACGCAGTACCAACTTTTTTTTTTTTAATGCAACAGCTCTCAAGTGTGTCATTTTCACATGGAGAGTTCTTTCTTAAAAATTAAATGTGTAATGACAATATACTTGGTCAGCATCATTTATAATGAATAGCAGAATGCATTTTCATATGATGTTCCACAGGAACTACCATTAAAGATCCCTAATCTGCTGAGAAATTATGAATAACCCAATAGGCGATGCTAATGTAATTCTATGCAAAAGCAATCACTGCATAATGTTTCCTGTTCCTGTTCTCAATACTGATATATGGGTCAAATATCTGCTCTATTCGGGGAATTCATCAGGCATACATAGTTGAATTGATCCCACAGGCCATATGCCTTGGCTTCACTGCCATTAGAAATCAATGCTAGGGTCAATTTGTATATGAACAATTTGAAAAGACCATACTAAACTCAACTATAATAAGTCATTATACAGGGTAACTTATAAGTCACATGTTTGGAATACAGATACAGTAAGTTCAGCAGACAATGACTCTATTGGACAGATTAAATAATAGCCAAATACTTATCATGAATTCACTACATATATATCCAGTGCTAGGGTGCTCTGAATTTCAAAGTATATAACTTGGTCTCTGTTCTCAGAAGTTTATAATCTAGTAAGAGAATCTTATAAACGTAAATGAAACAACTTCAGAACATAAGAACCAATCCCTGAAAGTGCTGTATTAAATAAGAACAGTGAGAGCTGGAAGACTTCCCAGAAGAGGTGGAAGTTTTGCTGGACCTTGAATGATGGCTACCATTTGGACATTCAAGAAAAGCAGCAACATTGCAGACAGGGATTTATGAAGGGAGTGAGGGAAGTGAAGACAAAGATTCAAAGATCAGAAATAGGAAAAAGAATGATGTGGACATTGGCAGTAAGGCTACAAGGCTGATTAGAGGAGTTACTGTAGGAAAGGTCAGAGGCTTTCACAGTACAACACAATAAATTAGATAAAACTTGAAATTCAAGACTTTATATATTTAGGGCCAATTACCTGCATTTACTTAAGAGCATGATGCTTGATCCTCAGTTCATCCTATATAATAAAAGTGTAATACCTCAACCGAGCCACCTGACCAATCTTTCATCTTTATTTGTAATAATGTTTTCAATCTTTAAAAGATTTTTCTCTTGGATATAAAAAATGGCAATTGATAAAAATGTTCAACATTTTTCTATTAAGGCTCTGAACATTGAGAGAAAAAAATGTGCATATGTTGAAGTTAATGCCCAATGCATCCCAGTCTACTAAGATCCTTGACATTTCTTCTCAAATCACTCTAGTGTGTTGTAATACATATCTAGAACAAAACAAACGTTTTTCTTCTCTTTTTCTTCCATATTGCCTTAATAAATCTGTTAGTACATAGAAAGATTCAGCAGGATTTAAAAACTCTTCACCTCTTAGGACCTCACAATCCAATTGATTTTCTGTTAACTTTTCATAGTAATTCAAATAAAATGTTAGGTATAGTGAAATAAATAGAGAATCCTCTGTTGGTATTTTATCAAGACAGGCAGAGTGGTAATTTTCTTTGGTTTTCTGTTGTCTGAAATTCATGTATCTTATTAACACCAGGCAGGTGTTTTCTTTATGTAAAGCTTCTCATGATAAAGCTGTTATCACACTTATTTCAGTGACACTAAATCTGGTTGCCCAATTAACGATCTGAGACTTCTAGTGCATTCTTAAGGCAAAGTCCAACAAATTCAGTCACAGGATGTATTAAAACCCCTATCCACGGTAGGCCAGGAAGTATCAGGCATATCAGGCAGAGAGGAAAAAATATTTTAGATTAAATGTATACTTCCAGATGGTGCCAAAGACTGATCTATTATATGATTGTCCTACACTAAGAGAAGAATTATAAGAAATAACTCCTCAATAAGATCTGCTAACATTTATGTATACTGGTTAGTTCATCATTAACTCACTTACTATAGGAATGTGGTGTTAATTACTTTTTATTTTATTTTCCAAGACCTTGTCACCATCATTATTAACAAGGTAAATCACTTATACAGTGCTCATCACAAGCAAGGTCTAAAAACTAAATATATATATTTTAATCTCAACAACAAACCTCTGGGGTGGGTACCATTATTATCCTCACTTTACAGATGAGGAAACTGAGGCACATGAACTAAATAACTTGTCCACAGTGGTAGAGGTATAATTTGAACCGAGACAGTCTGGCTCCAGAGTCCTTGCCTATCCCCACTATTCTCTGCTGTCTGAGGTGTTTATCATTGTTAATTTTCTTGTTTTGGTATGTTAAATTTCCAATTGGTAACAATGGTGTCTTTAAACCAACTATTGTATAGCATTCAAGCACGTCAATTGTATATGCACAGGGCACGGAGTGATAAAACCATATATTAGACATTTTTCACTATAAAATAAAAATGGAAACCTAGCTCAAATATGTTGTCTATTAGATGGTCTGGGGGAAAAAATCACTGCAGTCTATCTAGTTTCAAACGAGTAAAGAACATTATATCTAGGATCATTGATCTGCCACTGACAGCCCACTCACTGACTAACAACCCTGGTATCTCCCTGGATGGTGGTAAACCTTTTTGGACAAGCAATTTTGTTGTATAACATGTAGAGTCATAGTAAAATATCAACTAGTATTGGGTTTTCCAGATAAAGCCTATATAATCGAACTAAAAGTGTGGGAGGATGGGGGCAGTGAGCGACGGCCACTGTGGAGAACTACCACACCACGATCCCCTGGAGGCTTTCCACAGTTGTACTCCCCATGTTCTAAGGTTCTGGTTTCCACAACCTCCAACCCCTTGAGAGTCACTGAAGCACAGAGCCTCGCTCTGGATGGTTTTTAAAAACATGCCTCCCAGGTGTAATGGGTGTTTCCTTTTCTTCACACTTGCTGCTTCCCTCCTGTGGGAGTGCTGCCCACAAGTTTCCTCCTCCCTCTCTTGTCTCCACCCCCCTTTGCCCTTCTCTATGTGGATGGCTTCTTATTATCAGTAAAGGCTACGGTCTGAGGTCCCTCTTGCAGAAAACCTTCTCTGATCAACCCATGATTTAATTTCTCAGTACCAGCAGGTCCCTCCAAATGAGAAAGAAAAAAATAGATGCTCTACAGTCAGAAGCTGGCTTTGCTCGCCTCTCAGACATCACACCCACCTTCGCAAGGTTACTCTGAGACCATGATGAAATGGGACGGAGCAAGGCCACTGCGTAATTCTGCCTGAGCACAAAGGCAAGGTCACAGTGCCAAAGTACTAAACAGTCCCTCCTCTCTTGGCTAAAATGAGTAACTGCGGATTCTTTGCCAAGTATAACCTCCTCCTTGTTTTAATGTCTCTTCCTAGATAGGATTAATTAAGATACCAGATACTGTGGTTAAAGTCTTAAAATTAAGGCCCAGTATTACATGCTGCTTTCATATCTGGGGGACCCTAGCAGGGTCTCAAATGGCCTTACCACAGATTCTCCTCCTCCTCACTCTGCTCCCCAGATAAGATCCTCTAGCCAGACAACCCTCCTTATCAAAGTGATTGGATACAGTTCATCCTTTCCCCCCAGTAGTAGTAGGTTTTACTTTCCTGCCTGCCTGTGGAATGATTCAAACAGGCCAATCACATCCTCCTAAGGGAACAAGGGCACTTCATTCCCTTGATACTATAAAGCTTGCCTTCCATAGCTCCTGGTTGTTTCCAAGTGCAACCTGTGTGTTGCCCTGTGTGGTGTCCTCCCCCTGGACTGAGAGTGTATGTAATTAATAAATATGTCAATCTCATCTGTCTAATGTACGGTGCTGTGCTCTCATCCATCTGATAACCTTATGATGAGAATGCTTCCTTTACCAATAGGTAAGGGGCTAGGAAATGAGGTGAAATGAAAACAGAGGCAATGAAAATAGATACATGATTACAGAATTGCCTTTGCTTTCTAATAGCATTTAATCTAGAGCAAACTCCTGCTTCCTAGACACTCTCCCAAATCACCCAACCAAAGCCCAAATCCTACAAAGGTTTCATCTGACACACACGATCATTCCCCATTCTGTATGATTTCCTGGCTGAACCCAGCTTCTTAAACTATAGTGTGTTCCTGGGATCTTTGGCTTGAGAGTATGAGCATAACATACAGGGTGGGGCAAAAGTAGGTTTATGGTTATATCTACTTTCAAATGCAATTATTAATAAATAAATAAGTAATTGAAAAACTGTAGTGAGTATGAGAAACAAAATTTATTCTTCTTTTATTAGAAGTAACCAAGTGCAAAACAGGCATATTTTTTTCTGAGACACTAAGTCCCTGAGCTAATAACCGTGCGGTGAATGCACGATGAGAAAGTGTTTTATCCAAACAGAGTTCATGACCTTTGTTTGTGGAACACAGCTCTTCCTCTGAGGCTGAAGGCTCAGCACAGGGGCCACACGGATTTTTAGTAATTAATTTATGTGTGCCATGGGATGAGAAAAATTGAAAATCACTGAAGTCATGAAGGCATGGCCTTGACTATCTCTATTTTATGTTGTGCCTAAACATAAAACAACTCTTTAATATTTGTTGCATGAATGAAATAAATGAATGCGGGGAAAAACCATCAACTCTAGACCCGAAATTGGGAAACCTGTGAGTATAGGTATAGGTTGGAGAATTTTCCAATATGCTAACTTTTTTAAAATTTTCTTTCTTTATGAGCATAGTCTTTTTTTTTATTTATGAGCAGAGTCTCATTTGCTTTCCTTTCATTGTGTACAGTTAAAAGATGCTTCAATATCTTCTGTATTCATTTCTTTTAAAAAAACTTAACTATGCACAATCTATTTTCCTTCCTGAGTGTAAAGGCAACAAGGAAAATATTTTTAAGTATCATGTAAAGAAAAAGTTAAAAAACGAGATATAGTAGAAAAACGTAT